TAGCAGGTATACCTTACTGTGTTACGAAAATTTATTAAGAATGAGAGAGTGTAATTTAACCGATATTTTCTAATTTGAATTCAAATTTATGTAAGATTTTAAAAATCAAACAGAGTTTACTTTTAAACCTTTCGCATTTATTATCCGTTCTAAGAAATGTCACAGATTCTCGATAAAAAAAAGAATTCTCGAAGGGAAAAGAAAAAAAGAAAGAAAGAAAATAAACGTAAAAGTATTTTTCTTATTCTTCTCTCTCTCTCTCTCTCTCTCTCTCTAAAAATTCTTTCGTCATTATTCGATGAAATAAATCGATCAAAAAGTTGCCAATAATAAATTTATCGGAATAAGGAAAATTCATTCATTCGATTATTCGTAAAATTGTTGATCATCGTTCGATTTATTATATTATTATATATTGTATATTTATTATATTATTATATTATTATATAATTTATTCGATTTATTTACGATTGATTTATTTATATTTTATGTATATATGAATTATTGAATTATATCGATATCACACAGATTGGTTTTTTTTTTTTTATGCGCTTCAATAAATTCGGTGAAAAAACTGTAATTGTAATAAAGGTTTAATTATAAAATTGATAGATTATTCAGAATTTTATCAATCGGGACAAAAAAATTTATGGATTATAATTTAAAAAAATTATCGTCATCATTACTATTCTTAATTATTCAAATTTACTTGCCAGACCAATATTATAACATATCTAATTAAGCTTGACCTGTCTCAACCTGTTGAAATCAATTTGGAAATTCGTCTTTAATGTTTAAAAAATTTGAAATCTGATACATGAAAGCTCGTGGAATCCGGTTAATTATCCTCGCATAAAGTAAAATAATAGACACACCATTAAAATCCACTGAAAAAGTAATTTTACTCGTTAATTTATCCTTGACTGGCACGCTTATTATTTTCGTAAATTATTATCGATCGCATATAACAACGTAATAATAACAATAATAATTACATTGAGTTACCATACGCATTTTTGTATACAGATCCATCTAACGCTTCGTCGTCGTTTTGGGGGGAAAAATTTTTTTGCCCGTCCCCCTCCCCAAGGCGTCGAAGAAAGCCGGGGAGAAGTGACGTTTCAGGGTTGGTTGCATCTCGAGGGGTGGCTCCATCCTTTGAAAACCCTACTCTTGATCTCGCGCGACTGGTTGGAAGGGAGGGAAAGGTGGCGATGCCAGAGGCACAGGTCGCTAATAGTTTCGCTCTAGTGGAACATATACATATATATATATATATATATAAATGTAAGAAGAAATATAAAACAGGTGGAATGTAATAGACACTCGTGGAATCGCATCTGTTTGGTTACAACACTCGCCTGCCTAATAAATAGCTCGTTGTTTCATGGTGAATGAAAACGTGCTCGGTGAATGAAGAAGTGATCTATTATCTGTTCAATTGGAAGTGATACTTATTTAAGAAGGATCTTGGTCGCCGCCTCATGTGCAAAATACGGGCCAAGTGTGAAAGATCGATTGTTTGTTATGTATCGAGAATTATCAAATCGATATATTATTAATTATCGTAGAATATTGTTCGTTGTTGTTAATAGATCGTTAGTTTTTTTTTTTTTTTTTCTTCGATACTTGTAATCGAAGGATTTCGTAAAATTTTTTTTAGCGATTGTCCCATTCTTCGTTGTATAATTCTTTTTTTAAAAGAATTAATTGAATCAAACATCGAAGTTCGATTTAATCGAAGGTGAGTTTGAAAATTTGAATTCGAATGTATTCGGAATTAATATTATACGAGGAGAATACTCGTCGAGGAGAACGTATATTATGTTTATTTCATATTTTATCTAACTTGCTTCAAAGGAAAGTTTTCCAACGAATCGAGATTTACATTTAGAATGAAAATTATGTATTTTTAAACGATTGATTTATCGATCTAATCTATTTTGATAATAATCTATCAACGATCCATTTGATGATTCCATTTTCCTCCCTCTACCTCCCCCCCTCCCCTCCCCCCTTCTATATCGAATTTTTATCGAGCGAAATCGAGACTCCTTTCCTCTTTATCAGAGTGACCTGAACACGTACCGTTGAAGAGCCCACGTTCCAAATTTACTAAACAATTTTGGGACAATAATAATATTGTTTGTCGAACGATTTCACGATTTTATACGTAGTAAACTAAAAATTAATAATTAAATCAACAGTTTGTAGAATAATGTTTCAGATATTTGCCAGAGTGGATAAGTCTTATTAGAGAAAAAAATTCTAGATATAGAATTGAGTAGAATTGACACCAGTGATTCTCAACCATCGAGATTCTCGAAGTGTGCCGCCATTGCCAGGCAGTGGCTCCTCCCGAAATGAAAATTATTTATTTTTTTTTTTTTTTTTTTACTATTTCTTTTTTCAATTACATAATTCAATCCTTATAATAATTTCCTGCACGTATAAAATTAAATCCTGGCTACGCCAACTTGGCGATCATATCATCCATACATACACCAATTCTACAAAATGTATTACATCAATCAAAATAATAAACAATGGTAAAACTCTTTTAATTTGTATCTCATTGTATCGGTGTGACGTGAAAAAAAAGGTTGAGAACCACTGGTTAACACAATGCTTAATAACAGCATCAAAATAACGTTTCGTGTATTGTTTTGAAATCGTGAAACTGATATATTCTTTGATCTTCTTCCTTCTTGTTTCAGAAGTTACGTTATTCGTGCTTATGGGTCATTTTTATCCGATTTTTAAAATTCGCGTTCAATTCAATTCAATGAGCGTAAATATTGAAATTAAACGGGATAAAAGAAAAAAAAAAGGTGTAAATCGAAGGCGTATATAAAAATGATATCGAAACAAATGACATTTGCAAGATTCGCTCGTTCGCAATATTCGAAGAATCTTTTTTTTTTTCCTTTTCTCGTAATTAACCTTCCCCCCTCACCGACACTTTTTTATTGATTCACTCTTTTCTTCCTGTCGCAATTTATATTCGACCTTCGACGAGAATAAAATTTCCTTTTCTTCTTATAGAATACTTCTCTAAGATAAGGAAAAAAATTAGATGTAGAACTCAAACCAATCTGGCAAAGATCGTTTCAAACGGGGAGAATAAAGGAATTCCGGATACACGTGCATCCACGGCAGTGTATCGAGTTGTAAGGACCCCTACTCGGGAAAGTTAATATTACTGTATTTGGAATTTTTGCGAAAATAAAATATGAAAACAAATGAAAACGCGGCCGATGTCGACAACAATAAATACCGAATACTTGCCCGAAATCGCTTCAGTGCGAGTTCGGTTATCGCGATTGTGAAAAAAAATTGTTTCATCCTCGCCTTTGTTGAAAAATTGTCTCGAGACGTTTCGTGTGTTGCGCGATATGAAGGAAAAAAAAAAAAAGAAAAAAAAAAGAAAAGGAAAGAAAATGCGGGAAAAAATATAATGGATCATCGAATCGAATCGAATTAAAAGAAGCGAAGGTTAATGCGTATCATCGAGTATGTGACGCATGCGAATGAACGAAATTCTGCAACGAATGACGCAACAATAGTTATCTTCTTTGAACGTGGGAAAGAAAAAAAAAAAAAAAAGGAAAATAACCCGAAAGATCGAATAGATGTTGCGAGAAAATTAGTGTTTAAAAGAAAATTTTTTTCTTAATCGATTTTATAACCAGACCTCTTCTTGTTTACCGGAAAAGAAATAAAATCATTAGAGCTATTTTTAAACATTGTACTAGGAAAATCTTCCACTATTATTTCTATTAGTTATTTCTATTAGTGGATTGCCGATAGAAATATCCTATTCATTCTAATAACATTATAATTAACAATATTTGTTTTATTGGTTAACAGTTTCCTCTAGTTATAAATACGAATGATAAAATCACGAAAGTGCAGTGCTCAATTGAGACACTTGTGCGATCGCATCGAAAGGAAGATTTTCAAAATTTATATTTCCCCAAAACGAAATACCGATTCGATCCGGTCGATCGAATACCGATAGTAGAAGTTAGATGGCTCGAAATATATTCGAGGCGAGGATCGACACGGTGAATCACGATCCTGTTTGTTCTCATTTTCAGTTTTCGAACATAACGCGTTTCAAGTGAAAATTGGAAAAATATTTTTTCGAACATGAGGAATAAGACGCTCGCTCTGCTGATAATCCTTCAAGTTATTCGCGCCCGTTCGACCTCTCCTTCGTCGGCGACGAGCTGTTCGAACGAGATGGTGGACGAAAAAATCGGGTACACCGTTCGAAATCACGAGGAGGCTACGATGATGTCGTCTCTGGTGGGGATGAACCGATCGAGAAACGAGGAATCGGAAATGTACGCGCAACAACAACAGGCAGGCGATTGCGCGACAAACGCAATGTTTGGAAAGTTTTCCAGTGGCGCGCAATACTGCACGAAAGAAAAGAGGATCGAGCCGATTAAGAATTTAGGTAAGATCTTCTAGATATTCTCGTACGATTCTATTCTCTGGGAAATATTCAGGTTCAACTTGAAGTTGTTGGAAAAATTTTATGAAGGAATCATGTGGAAAAAAAGAAATGCAAATTAAATTATGATATTTTTCATTATGAAAATTCGAGAGAGTAAATTGTGTTATATTTTGCAAGGGAAAAACATTGCACGGAAAACAACGTTTACAAACATTTATATTTAGTCCAAGGACGCCATGACCGAAAGGGTTAAATAACAAGTTAATTGAGAAATAAGATAAAATTATTGTCGACTTTGATCGATCGATCTTTTGTTCATATGACATCACACCTGTTTTACGATACGTTCAAAACATTTTCCTTGCACGATATTCTTATTTAATTTTATATTACGTAAAAATCACTCTTTCTTCGTTTCGAAATACATCTTGCGTTTCGATTAAAAATTTAAAAAAGAAATTTATAAAGGATTTCTGCTCTTTCTCTTTCTCTCTCTTAATATTGCAACGAAAGGATTGTTGAATTTGTAGAGAACGGATTGAATTACGAAAGGAGAACGTTTCCACGTGAAACCGAGTCGATGAGCGACGGGATATCGCACATGCTACGCTTCACCCCAAATTTCACGTTCGTTCAAAACGTTGAGTGTCAAGAACAGGTTAACATTTTTCTACGTGAATTGAGGAATTATAAATTGTGGGCCATGGAAAGTGAGTCGATAAATACTTTTAAATACTTTGATAATTGATTTTCCGTTATTAAATTATTTCAAAAATAAAGAGAGAGAAAAAAATGTTGCGCATCAATATTATACCAACTGAATTTCCAATTTTACAATTCCACGTATCGTAGAGCGATATTAATCGATAATTCTTTCCCAGTGTTAGATTCGAACGCGAAACTGCCATCCGGTTTGTTGCAAGGGAATCTGAATCAATTCGGGGATTTCGATCAATGCTTGAACGTGATGGCGTACGAGAAGTGGAACGGAAGGATGATAAAGATGCAAGGGAGATACTTTTTGACGAATATAGACATCAACGCGACCCATCCGATTATGGAAAATCTGGTTTTCAGGATCAAGGCGTATAACATGCTCACGTCGCGTTTGTACGAAGTAAATCAAGTTCTTGTTTTTTTCGAAACGAAATAAAATTAACCGATCAAATTTCAAAAGAGAAGATGTCAAGAAAAAAGAAAAGAAACGAGTGCGATGTTGGCATTTTGCAGAGAGGTAGACACTTTTTCCCAAGATTTCCGGTGATAAGATGGGCGTTGTGCCTTCCGTCGGCATGCTCGAACGAGGACGCACGAAGCATAATTCAACACGCGTTGAACGATTACAATTCAACGGCGGGGGTTAAATTTATAGTTCACGTCGATTCTAACATGAATTACGTGAAGCACGAATCGTCGAGTTACACGAAAGAGACGATCTACGTTTTGTACGTATCACACACACACACACACACACACACATACACACACATATTTTTCAATTCAAAAAATTCTATGATTAACGTAAAAAAAAAAAAAATTCATCTTACACGAATCTCTCCTTTATTATTTCTTTCTAATCGTTTCTTTAATCGCAGATGTTTCTTTGCAATTGTCGCATGTCTCGTTGTAGCAACAACAACGAGAGATTACTTGATGGCGCCACGTGGTGAGAAGGAGAAAGGTAATTAATTTTCGACAACAACAACAACAACAACAATAATAACAATCCTACTCTTATTTTCTACGAATTTTCTTGACCTCGTTTTGTGTCGATCTGTTCTTACGTAGAAAACAGTTTGGAGAGAATAGCGATGGGATTCTCGTTGAGGAGAAGCGCGAGATCTTTGTTCAAAAGAGGAGCGGGCAACAATGATATCTCGTGCGTGCACGGAATAAAATCCATTTTGGCTATACTTATTTACATAGGACACAAGATCATGATAACGGTTATAATTCCCTACAAAAATCGAATCCATTACGTGAACGTAAGAACGAAAGATCCACCGTTCATAATTCACCGCATTAAAATAATATTTAATTTTTAATATTTATTTATTGACCTCTCTTCGTCCTACTCAGCTAGCTCACGATTTCTCGGATCACTATAAACAGAGAAGGTCGGTCACGCGTCGAGCCAGGCTCCTCGTATTGTTTACATTTGGTTCGAACAAAGTACCACGAGTCAGTGCTTATTGTCCTTGGCTGAAATTTCGCACAAATAGCCATTCGCTAGTTTTCAGAAAATTTCTTATATTCTTATATTCTATCAAATTCTTTTTTTCTTTATCTCTCATTTCACTTCATCCCCCCTTTTGAAAAAGTTAAACGGACGGATCGTACGTTCCAATTGCATGAATCTTTAACTGTGGATGCAGTTTAACTAATATTAACCACATATTAAAATTATATAGCCAGTGTAGTGTTAATCTCGCTTAGTAAAATGATTACGATGAAAAAGAAAAAAGAATCTTTCAAAATTGGAACTATGTACTTACCTTCATTTTATTTCTCTTTCTTTTTTATGAACTTTTCTTAATATAAGCCTTCTTCTGCTTCTTTCAATTCCTCGAGAAAAAGGCGCGAAACGAAGTTTGACGAAGTTTAAATTTCCGTGATAACATTTCTTGTACGTTTATCATATGCTTCGTCATATACTTTCCGATACTTTGTACTTTGTACGCTACTTTATAAAATAATTACAAATTGTCCAGCATTACGATTCGATTTTGGTAAAATTCTTCTTTTTTTTTTTTTTCGCAGTTAAAGCGTTAAACGAGAGAGGAAAGTGTAACGATTTTCGATAATTAAATAATATTATATCGGTGACTTATGAACGGTATTCCGCTCGATTGACGCGTATAAATCGAATCGATTGGTTTTATATTTCAAATTTACGTTCAAGTCGGCGAGCCATCCCTTGACGACCATCGTTAGAATAGCGACTACGTACACGGACTCGTTCTTGTTCTTCAGCGGCATGTTCGTGTCTCTTAACATGACGCACGAGTTGACCGTGAAAGGCGAAATTCGATGGTTCAAGCGGCTCGTTTCCAGATACGTGAGGTGCGTGAGTTGATGAAAAAAAATGTTGAACGAATTTCAGATAATAATAATTCTTATTAAAGAAATGAAAAATCGATGTAGCTCGTCGTTTCGACTTTCAGACTTACCCCGTCTTTGTTGGCAATCGTGCTTTATTACGCGTACGTGATGGAACACACTGGGTCGGGCCCGGAATGGAACATCATGGTGGAAAATGCCGATCTTTGTAAAAGAACCGGTTGGATGAATCTGTTGTACGCGCAGCTCATTCTACCCTTCGAGGATCAGGTGAAAAAAATTTTATTTCGTATCACGACAAATATATATATATATAGGAATTGTATATACAATTTGTCAACAGTGCGCGTCCCATACGTATCAGTTGTCCGTGGACATGCAATTGTCACTGTTGGCACCACTGTTGGTATACGTGCTAAATTTCTGGCCAACGCTTGGGACACTTCTCGTGTTGTTCACCGCCTCGTTGTCCACGATATTTCGTTACACGATACTGATGAGGAACAACGTTGCCATGATCATTCATCACGGTTTCTCGTGAGTTCTCGAGTCGATATTTCGAGGGAGAGAGAAAGAGAGAGAGAGAAAGAGAGAGAGAGAGAAGAATACTTATAATTCGTTACAATTCAACTTTGTTTCAGAACGGAGGAATTTTACAATATGTGCAATAATATGTACATCCTACCGTTTTATAGAATCACGCCGTATATCTTCGGCGTGGCATTTAGCGTGCTGTTGTACCGCGTTGGAAAAAACGTTAAGATTCCTAAGGTATCTTCTTTTTATTAAAAAGGAAGATAGAAATAAAATTTATATATATATATATATATATATATATATAT